TTCTACTGGTTCTACTGGTTATCTACTGGGCTTCTGAGGTTATCCCCCTGATAATGCAGAGATAAAACTAACAAAGTCCATCTCAGGCTGTTGACTGACTCGACTGGATTCTACCCTGGATTCGACTGGACAGGTAGGAGCACCTGTCCTCACCAGCCGAGTCATAGATTATATCGTTCAAATCTGGTCTGTCGACGCCGTCCGGGCTGAAACTGAGAAAAACCAGTGAGGCATGAGGATGGCAGCAGACATTTAGGTGAACATTAAGACCTCAAAGTGAAGTGACATAAGTTAGAACTGGAGTGTCCGTCGATCAGTCGATCAGACGTGTTTCAGAGTTTCTACCTCTTGGCAGCCGATGACACCGTCTCCTTCCTGGTGACGGAGGTCGAATCTCTCTTCCGTCCAGATGTGCCGCCGTTAGCGATGCATGACATCGAGTAGGCTTCACGCAATGCAGCTCCACCTGCAGGGGGCAGCACACTGCTTTAGGCACCGACCACAACCAGTAACAACTGCCAGACCACTGCTGGGCCAATACTTTAGTAATATTGGGACACTACTGGAATAATACTGGATGTATACTGGGCCAATACTGGAACAGCACCAGATCAATGCTCGACCACTAACGGGCCAACACTGGGCCACATTCATGACATTAAACAGCGATTTAAATTGTGCTATCACAATGTTCTGTAGAGCTAACGTCACCTTTTCCTCCATGCTGTTTCTTGGTTGCCGAGGCGGCGGAGTCTTCAGAGGCAGCGAGACGACGGAGGACGTCAGCGAGAGCAGCTTTCATCACCGTCAGCTCGTCCTCCTGCTGCTGGACGCGAAGCTCCAGAGCAGAAAGACGATCGTTGACGTCTGAGACACTCGCTCCGGACATGCTGTCGTCTGCAGAGACATTTCATATCCACAAGATAAAACACAGAAACATGTTTCCTGAGCAGACAACACGCAGAGACACAGGAACGTCTCAAAACAATCGGTAAAATGCTGAAACTCAGAGGCAAAGCAGCAGCTCTACTGGAGGTCTAACAGAGACATGAGCTCACTATAAAGCAGGTTCCAAGGTTGTCCAGGTAACTTCGGCTGTAACTCTGGGTTTTCACAACCACAACAGTTGTTCACTTCCTACGTCGCCATGGTAACTGTTGCTGAACACCTGAGCTGCCCTCATTTGTTCTTTACTTGCTTTAACAGCAGCTGAAAGAATCAAACTGTCAGACACACAAACATCAGAGTGATGTGAGACCACTGGACCATCGTCCACATCACTGGGACAACATCTGCATTAACGTCTGCTCATTAATTATTCCACCTTGTGCTGCACGTTGATGATGAAAATGAATGTAGAATATAAAAACTCAGCTACACATAATTAAAACCTCCCTGTAAGCCTGCCTCCTGCGTGATGTTAATACCACATGCTCTCAGGTTGTCTCCAGATGTCTGACCTGACTCTGGCTGCAGCAGCTGAGCTCACTTCAGTCCAGATCATGTATGAAACACTTCATGTGTGCTTCGAGGTTGTTGCTCTGACAAATAAGCAGCTCTACACCTGTCCCTGTCTGTTGCTCCGCCTCTTTCATGTGAGCACACCCACAGCAGGGTCAGTGACCTGGTTGATCTAACTAGTGGACAACCAGCATCATGTGACTGTGAGCGGTTGGTTTAGTGAGTTAACCTCGATATGTTAAACCTGACGATAAGAACACGAACAACTGAACACGTCAACATCTACAGACCAGCCGATGTCTCTGTTAGCTTAGCATTAGCTCTCCAGCAGGTAAATCTGATAACTGACCAATCCCTGACTTACACACAGACTTCCTACAACATATGACAAAGTCCAAGGATCGATCGTGATATCGTTGGAGAGCCAATCAGTGAATCCCTGTCCATTAATTGATCAGCTCACATGAACACTGACACAGTAACCTGCAGCAGGTGAGCACACAGCTCCACCAATCACGGGTCAGCTGACAGGACTCGTATCGCCACGGTTACCTGCAGGTTTCACAGACTGCTGGCAGCCAATCGGAGAGCAGCAACTGTGCTCTAAAAATGACTGATGATTGGTAGAGAAGCTGATTATTGATCCGTCACTGAACGTTTTTCTAAACATGCAGTGTGTGTGTGTGTGTGTGTTGTTGTGATTTAACCTGTAATTACATGAATGAATTAATCATTTCCTAAGTCTTTGTTGAGCAGACCAGAGTCCACAGACACACAGTGTGGTCCAAGCTGTGGTCCGAGGACCCTGCCCGTCTCTCCTCAATCTGGATGTTTCACACAAACAACCAAAACTGTTCAAACATGTCTGAGCCACATCTGCCTCAATACTGCCCCCCTCTACCTCTATCTGCCCCCCTTACCTGTATCTGCCCCCCTCTACCT